AAGAAGGTCAAAGAAGCATCAATCTCCTCCGACAAAGCGGGACTGCAGGTGGCCCTATGCATCTCCCGACCAGAGCATTTCTTCTTCAGTGAGCTCGCCAGACTGTTGACCGCCCTCATCCTGTGGGAGGACTTCCCAACCATAATGGTGATATCCGGTGAGAGGCCCAGCCAGATGTCGGTCGGGTCGGTCAAAAGGAAATTTGAGGAGCTCATCGACAAGAGTTCGGAAACGAAAGTTACCCTCGACAGGTTCAAAGGACAATCAAACCCGATCACCTTTTACCTCGAGGAGCTTCTCGGGGGGCACCCAACGCCAGCATTCCCCTCCTGATCAGAGCATAAATGGCGAACTTCGATGTCCACTGAATCCTGGTCGACCAAGGAAGTTCAGTGGACATCATGTACACCCATCTATTCACCAACCTGCAGTTGGACGAGAGTCATTTGACCCCGTACGTGGGCTCTGACCTCCAAGGCTTTAACGACACGACAACCAAGCCATGGGGGTATGTGGAGTTGCTCGTCACCTTCGGGGGCGAGGAGACGGTCAGACAGGTGAAAGTCCGCTTTTTGGTGATTGAGTGTCCCTCATTGTACCAGTGCATCCTAGGGATGACCAACCTTAGCCGAACTGACCGCAGTATCGTCGAAAGAACACCTGAAGATGAAGTACTACACGACCAGAGGATGGGTCGTCACCCTCCACGGAGACATTGAGCCAGCTAGAAGATGCTTCGAGGCGGCACTCAAAGGAGCCAGCTCCATCAACGTCACCCCAAGCCGGCCAACCGACCAGCCCGAACTGAGGAACTAAAGCCCCTTCCGCACGTCAACTTTGTCGACCTCGACAACCGTTTCTCCGGCAAGCAGGGCCAAGGCAAAGACCCTGAGGACACGCCTTCAATGGACAACGGGAAGCTCCCTCATCCAACATACTTCATCCTGGACGGAGACCTCGAGCTCATCATGCTAGGAGATAACCCTGAAAGAGGCGTGAAGATCGACACGGGCCTGCCCGACCTAGCAATGAAACAACTTAAGGCCTGCCTCCGGTAGAATGCGAACCTCTTTGCGTGAAGCGCTGCCGAGATGCCTGGACTCCAATCCGACTGGCGTGCCGCCACCTCTCCATAGATCTGGCCGTTAGGGCCATAGTTCAACGTAGGCGTAGGCAGTCTCCCAAGAAAGCGGAGGCTGCTGAAAAAGTTGTAAAAGACTTCTTAGAGGCGAATTTTATTTCGGAAGCCCGGTATACAACTTGGCTGTCCAATGTTTTACTTGTTAAGAAAACTAATGGAAAATGAAGAATGTGCATTGATTATACTGATCTCAGTCGGACATGTCCCAAAGATGCTTATTCGTTGCCTAACATCGACAAACTTGTCGACAATTCTGCAGGTTTCAAACTCTTTTCGTTCATGGGTGCATACTCGGGATACAATCAAATCTCCATGGCGAAGTCTGACAAGCAGCATACGACCTTCATGACAGAGTCGGGCAACTACTACTACAATCTAATGCCTTTCAACATGAAGAACGCTGGGGCAACCTATCAAAGGATGATGAACAAAGTCTTCAAATGAGAAATCGACGACATGCTCAAAGTTTACATGGACGACATGATCATGAAGTCGCGAGACGAGGTCGACCATACCGTTCATCTCAGGAAGGTTTTTGAAATGGCAAGGAAGTGCATGATGAGGTTCAACCCCGACAAGTGCACCTTCAGCGTGCGAGCAGGCAAGTTTTTCGGTTTCTACCTAATAGAACGAGGAATATAAGCTAACCCAGACAAGTGCAAGACCTTCTCTGAGTTCGCCACGCCGAACACAAAAAAGTCCATTCAGTCACTAAACATGATACTCGCATCCTTGTCATGATTCGTCGCCAAATCTGCACAGCCCACCCCACCCCCTTCTTTAAAACTATTACGCAAAGAAGCCGCGTTTGAATGGACCGAGGAGTGCGAGCAGGCTCTCCGCCACCTCAAATAGGTCCTTTCGGAGCCACCGGTACTATCAAGACCGAAAGTTAGAGAAATCTTATATTTGTATCTCGCCATCGCCACGGAGACCGTCAGCGCGACGTTGATCTGCAAAACGCCGGAAGGGCAGAAGCCAATATACTTCACGAGCAAAACTCTCCAAGGCCCCGAGCTCAGGTACCAGCAGATCGAAAAGGTCGCCCTGACCCTCATAAACGCGGCCAGGAGGTTGCGACATTACTTCCTGGCCCACACAGTCGTAATCAGATCTGACCAGCCCGTCAAAACAATTGCTCGGACGACCAGATATATCGGGACGAATGCTCAGATGGTCGCTCGAACTATCTGAATTCGGCGTCCAATACGAAAGCAGAAAGGTCCTCAAAGCCCAAGTCCTGGCCGAATTTGTCGCCAAAATGACTTTCGCAGACTCCCCGACACTCGGGGCGCACAAATGGACCATTTTCGTCGATGGCGCCTCCAACTCGACAGGAAGTGGAGCGGGCATTATCTTAGAAAATGAAGAAGGTATCTGATAGAAGTCTCCCTCGCCTTAGCGTTCCCAACATCGAACAATCAGGCCGAATACGAAGCATTTCTCGCTAGCCTACGTCTGGCCGAAGATCTAGGTGCCAAAGAGGTGAAGATTTTCATAGACTCTCAGCTCGTGGCCTCCCATGTGCGAGGGGAGTATCAAACCAAAAACAACAACCTCACTGAGTATCTTTCCTTGGTAAAAGAAAAAATGAAATGCTTCGATTCCACGAAGGTAAGACATGTCCCACGCGAACACAATACCTGAGCGGATGTCTTGTCCAAACTAGCCAGCATGAAGAGGAAGGTGGAAACAAATATGTGATCCGGAAGGTCCTCCTTTACCCCAACATCAAGAGAGACGCAACACCCGCCGAGGTAAATGCCATCGGCGACAGCGACTGCTGGATGACCCTGGTGTATACGTACCTTTGTACGGGGCGTCTTCCCGAAAATTCCAAGGAAGCAACTGTAGTTAGGCGCCAGGCATGTTCTTACGTCCAGGTCGAAGACAAACTGTACAGGCGGATTCTTCATCCCCCTCCTTAAGTGCATCGACAAATCCCAGGTGTCGGGCATACTCCAAAAGATCTACAAAGGGATCAACGCCCAACACCTAGGCGGAAGAACACTCGCCCGCAAGGCGTTACGAGCAGGGTACTATTGACCTACCATGCAACAAGACGCCAAAGAACACGTTAAGAAGTGTGATAGATACTAACGACACGGGGACACACACCTCGCCCCGCCTAACGAGCTGAAAACGCTTTCGTCGTCGTGGCCATTCGTCTGGTGGGGAATGGACATCTTCGGACCCTTCAGCGTCAAATCCTATCAAAACAAATATTTGAAGAAGAAATGATAATATGATCATGAGTGAAGCATACATGTAAAATGGTGTTTTATTGAATTTTCTGCTATACTAATTTAAAAATGCATTTCATTCACTGAGTTATGAAATACTATATTTAAGGTGGTGTTTTTTTTCAAAAAATTCACGTTTTTCAAATTTGTCACTGAATTATGAAATAAGCAAAACTATTGTATTAGGGAATTTGATTAAATACTTTCAAACTGGTTTTTGAAAAAAATGGTACATGTTTGACTTGGAATGTGTTTTGGTGAAGAATATAGATGTATTTCTATTTAGGTTTTTTTAGGATGATTTTTCACCACTAAGGGTGAGAAGAGCCATCACTAAATTTAACAAAAAAAATGTTGGCTCAGATGAAAGACTCTTTAGGCCAAAAGTTATGAGAAGGTTCAGGTTTGGTCAAAAGTTATGAGAGGTTCAGGTTTGGTCGTTGGTGGCTACAATTTAAAATAAATTTGGCAAATTATACCAAATGATTAATTATTTTGAAATTTTCAATGATAATGAAAATAATAATTTGTGAAATTTATGTATATTAAATAATAAAACATAATAATATTAAATATACACTTTTAATATATAAATATATGTGGCAAAAAATTGTGACCACATGGATTTGTCACATCAATGTTGAGTGTCAATTATATAAATTTGAAAGGAGGGAAAAAAATATCAAGGAAATGTTAAATATTAGGACCACATCTACTACACAAATTTGAAGTGCCAAATATACAAATTTTGGAGATTTATCACTTAAAAAATTGTAATTAACCCTTCGCATGGGAAAACATCTATTATTTATATTTTGGAATATTTTTATGAAAATATAAAAATATTTGTTTTTTCATCCAGAGAAGGGGTTACTAAACCCACTATATTTTTTCTCAATTTCACTCTCTTTAATTCAATGGAAAATGATTTTATCAGAGAGTGAAATTTAGGAAAAAACAAATAGAGTACGGAGAGAAAAAAAATCTAAAATAGTGGTAGTTATATAGTTAATGGGCACAAACACTGTGTGTGTATGTTACATACTTGAGAAATTAAAGTTACTCTCTTGATGTTAATGGGCACAAACACATATATGTTAAAGCGATTGAATATGATTAACATCAAGAGATATAAAAAGGATATATTTGAAAAAAAAAAAAAAGGCTACACTAAACCTATGTTTTACCTTCCACTCTTTTATATGTTAAAGACTATCAAATGACCAATTTGATTATCCATTTTGCATTAACTCATTAAAAAACGGATAGTAAGGTTTTTATCTTCTCCATCTTTTAAACAATGCCTCTATATATTAGTCCTTATTAGATATTCGTATTCATATTTATATATATACTACATATATAGTACAATTAAGACATATACTGTATTTGGTTTTCTCAAAAAATTATCCTCTGGATTGGATACACTTTTTTGTCAGCGAACCTTAAAAGTGCCCTTAGAAAAATAGATAACTACTTATCTACTGGCAATCCACAAAGTTGTTGCAAATCCATGTGATCTTGTTATTCTTTGAGTTGGAAGAATTTTTTGTCTTTTGGCTCTGAACTCCCAGCTTCAAAATCTTCAGACTCTATTTTGTGATTTGCATCCGTTTCTAAACACATTGGCAACGAAATGTGCACATGTGACTGCCAAATTGCGAGATAACATCTACAAGACATCCGTAACCTCCAACTGCAATAACCTGAAATAAACATGAATGGACCAAATAAATAAGATAAAGCAGACAGTAGGAGCCCATGTAAAAAGCTTGAGGTGAATAGTTGGTAACCTAAACAAATGTTCTAACCCCATTTTAATAGGAAATAATGTTGAAACAAAACATACCCCTGTCGGATGTAAGGAGATAGAAAAGGCCGATGGGGAAGCACATGGTATTTGTGAAAGGATTTCACCGTTCATGTCAAAGCGATTGAGTATAGGATCTGCGCCAACTGTTAGAATCTGAAATGCAAAAGTTAACAATTTATAATAAGATAGCTAAAATAACGGTGACACAAATGCAGATATTATAAGAACATCTAATGAGTAGATATTAACAATTCTCACATGACAGAAAAGGATGATGATTGAAATTTTGAAGTATCTACAATGAGTAGTAGATATTAACAATTCTCACTTGACAGAGGAGGAAAATGAACAAGCCAATTGCACCATAAAAACACAAAAGCCAATAATAAAAATAAAATAAAGCGATTGATCAAGGGTTCTGAAATATGAAGATACAGAATCATCATCCAAGAGAAACTTAATCTTTTTCTATCACACATCCGTGCTTTTTGAAGTTAATATTAAATTTTGACGACGTTATCATACAGATCAGTATCAGATCAATAAATTGTTAGTGGCAATTGGGAACAAAGCTCATTAATTTGTAATGTTCTAACAATCTTTCACTATTTAAAAAAATATCATTTCATTCGAGTAACTAGTAGCCTTGTTCATGAGAGATTATAATTAGAACTGGCGCAATTAGTTTTTTCACATATGTACAAAAATAAAATCAAATGTAATCAATTTAGGAGAACACAAACTCATTCAAAGCGTAGGTGAAAATATTTTGAAATATGGACATTACACCACTCATGAACCTGGAAAAAGAAGAGATAAAAGGAGAGAGGGAGCTCCCCAATAATGTACATATAAGCCTTATTTTAAGGTTAATGATAGTGCGGATGTTAGTAGATGATATTGATAACATTTTTATGCATATGATATTGGTAACATTTCATTTATGTCTTTCTCCCGAGTCCTGCAGCTACCGTAATCAAAGAGTATGACAATGTTGAAAACAACTGAGATAAGAGAGAGATAGCCAACTAACTTGATTATTGTCAAATAACATGTCTTGTACAGAAGCTTGAGTGATAAATTTTAATGTGCACTCTGAGGCAGGAAGGTTCCAAAGTGATATATTACGTCCACTACCGCAAGCCTGTAGAATGGTGAAAATGGTGTCATAACTAATCACAGAACTAACAAAACACGCTGAAATTTCCCAAGCATGTTTGCGTTTCACTAGTTACCGTAAAGATATTCCCTTACCAACCAACTCTCACTTGCATCTAAAGCAACAGAGCCAACCCATGAAACAGGTCCTTTTAACTTCAAATGTTTTGCTGGATCAATCACTTGGATACACTTTCCACTTTTGCAATCTAGAAAGTGAGTTGCAATAACATATGTAATTAATAAATATTAACAAGTGTTCAAGAAAACCAGTTTATTTACACCAAAAAACACTGATTAATGTAGTTTGTTATGCTTTAACAAGTGGTGCAAAAAAAATATAAGTAAAAAATAATACCCCAAATACGTGTTGTCCTATCCTCTGAACCTGTTATGATCTGAATATCGTTCAAAAGGAACCAAGTTAAAATCTCGGGCAACACATTATGTGTGAGAAGATAAGAAATAAGATTACTATTAGAATATTTCATCCCACGCATCTCTAGCACCAGAAGAACAGTGGAATTGAAATTTATTACTCGGGTAAAGTTTTAAGTTTTTAACCCTTTTTTGTGGAATAACTATTTCTGTAATCTGTACAAAAGGTCTTTGGTTGCTTTAAGTTCAACGGTATATACTTTGGCAAATTCTTAGGTACTCATGATAAGTAGTTGGGTACCGGTACCTTTAGTGGGAATTGATTTAAAATATTAATTTATTTTTAAATAAAATATATATAAAAAGTGACATGGCATTGAAAGCGAACAATCAAAAGCACGTAAGGAGAAATTTAAACAACATATGGAGAACATTCTATTGCTTATATGTTTACAAACAAAACACGTATGGAGAAATTTAAACAACATATAAAAATCAAAAGCAAACATTTCTGAAGTAGTTTATATACAAAAAGTGTGAAGTATTAAAATCGTCTCTGTAGTTAGATATCTAAATATGTTTCCGTTAGTCTCATTGTTTTAGTTCTGTATTTTTGTTCAATGTGTTATTATTGTTTTTTTATTTTGTGTAGCTGATAAAGCTAGTAAAGCAGGTTGCTTTCTTCCCCTCTGGTTTAACAATTTTCAATAAGCATCAAGTCAAATAAGTACAAAGTGTATAAGGTTAAGGACCAAGACCTGATTGGATGAGTTGCGAGCAACAATACAATGCAAGTAATCAGAGTGACCCTTGAATACTGTTTTTAATTTACCAGTTTCCTATAGACATTAAAACTCGTTAGACCAGCATGAACAGAGATGCAACTATAAATCAAGTTAATTCCAAGAAACATAATACACTTAAATTAAGTTCACCCTAACTAAACACATACCACATCCCAACAATACGCACAAGAATCACCAGATGCAGCAAAAACAGATCCTGCCTACAGTTCAGTAAAAACAATAAAGACACTACCTCAATCACAAAATAACAAGAGAGATAAATATTGCGACAAGCAAAAAGTAACAAACCTGAGTATTAACAGCAATAGCATTATTCTCAGGGAGAGGTGAGAGTGAACCCCAAGGACCTCTGAAAGACAACAGAAAGCGAGCATATCGGTGTTAATCAGAAACCCACAAATAGGGGAAGAATGGAACTTATACTATATAATAAGCTAGAAACTTTCTGCACATGCTCAGATAGTTTGAATAATCCCTTTCTCCAACAGGTCTTGAGTTAGTCAAATAGCAAAAGAAATCTGACATCATAAAATCATGCAAGATAAACAATAGTTTCAAACATCCGAGTTTATCAGCATAAATCACTTTGAATTATTTTGTTAGGAGCAATCAATAATAATACAAGATGAGGAATCCAGATGTAGAAGAGTATACTCAAATAGTATACAGGAAAAGTGAACAAATAACTTAGAAATCAAGAAGGAAACACCATCCCCTACTTCTATAATAATTATAAAAAATAACTAGCCAATAAAGCTGAAGTACGCATTAATTCTCTAAACACTCACTTGTGTTGAGGATTTACCACATCAAAGACGGGCTTGATATTATTTCCTGAAACATTAAGGGATAGCATATCTAAGACCTTGAGCAATTTACCAACCAAAAAGTAAAAAATAAGAAAATGTTGATATAGAAGACGTAAGTGACTGAACATCGCAACTCATCCTTAATCAAATAAATGCACATTCAATCAGGGAGTGTATGGGAGGAGGATAAAGAATATCATGACAGGCCTTAGAAAATCAGAGAAACTTAGTTGAAGCTTAATACTTATATTGGTAATAAGTCAAAAGTCTTGCTGCATCACATTAACCATGTTGATGTCAACTTATAACTATAAATCCTTACAGAAAATGAATATGAGACGGGGATTCTTATTGAGTTATCCTTTTACAAGTCTTATAATGTATGGTGTGTTATTGGTTTGTGCTATGTACGAGTTGTAGTAACAAGTACTTGCCCAAAAATATTGGTATAAGTAGAACTGAAATAGGTCAGTGTTTTATATCATAATACCAGTATGATTGCTTTTTCATGATAGCACTTGAGTTGTATTTCTCTCTTCTACCTTTTCCATCTTTACTCTATAACTTCAAAGAAACAATACTCAATTCTTATTGACCCGTTGCAATTTGATATTGAATAATTAAAAATGCAATTACCAGATTTAGTCATACTAAGGAAAAGAATAAATCTAAGAGTCAGTCTCGATATAAAAAATAAATAAAAAACAATTGCAGGTTAAAATAAAATACTGATTTAAACTCCATGAGCCAAGATTCATAGAAAAAATACAATCTTCATGAAATAATCAGGGTAAGAAAATAATAGATGTAAGTAACTTCAGACTTCAGAGAAATAAAAGAGATTAAAATGAATGAGTTAATTTTAATTTCTATCACAACTGTAACATACTACGACCTTCTGAAGTAATATGATATTTTGAGCTAGCAAGTTCCTTCCATCTCCATCCTCGAACTCGGCCATCATCACCGCAGCTGTGAGGTAAATCTATTATCAGAAGCTATGCCAAATGTTAAACTAAACACTCTCTTCTATATTAATGCATGTTCAAACACTAGCCCGTCACACAAACAATTCCTCCAAAATCATAATACTAAAAACGACACGGTGAACAAAAAAAGCTTCAAAAGTAGTAAACTCAAAATTTGAATATCAGAATGATAATACAAAAGTTGTGGCATAGTTGATAAAGATAAGTATCAAGGTTTTAAAAAACATTCCGTTGCCGCGAAAATGGCCGCGACAAAATAGTATTGAAAGGTGCCAATACCAATACTGTTATTGTTTTTATGATGAAAAAGAAATAACCATATTTGGTATCGCAACACATGTACCAACTGAAATCACAAAAGCATTTATGTTACTGCAACGCAGCCGTTATTTAAAACCTTGATAGGTATTATAGTCTAGCACTAGCATAATAAGAATGTAGAAGAAAAGAATCAGAGGGACAAGTAGTCGGTACTAATTTGAATTTGAACCTCAGCAACAGAGCATTATCATCATCACCGTAGAATTTAACATCATATGCAGATCCATCATGAGCTTGAAAAAAGCAATCTGGCTCAGCCAATAAACTACATTGCAAGTGAAAACACAGTTAAACCCTAATAATAATAATACTAATAATCTAAACCGATAAACAATAATAAAATCAATCGTAAATCCTAAACACAAACTTACTTATCCGAATCCGCATTGATAAAACCAAACGGCTGCAACAAACGCAAAATCAACAAAAAGTGAAATCTAGTTTCATCTAATAAACAAAAGAAAAAGTGAAATGCGATAGAAACGATGATTTGAGTAAAGGATACGAACATTTTTGAGCTTAGAAGCAGAGACGGTGGAAGCGACGGAGTAAGAGGCGATGGAACCGTCGCTGGAGGCAACGACGAGAGAGTCGAGATTAGGGGTTTGAGAGGGAGACCAAGCAGTTCTGAAAACGGTTTGGGTTTGAATCTCTCTTTCCTTTAATACGGTTTCTCTGTACGCATCTTCGTTCCAGTTGGTGGCGTCACCCAACATTGCAACCTCACTCTAACTTCGCTTTTCTTTCTTCTCAACCTCTCGGTTTTGTGACACAAGCTATGCAGTAAAGAAAGTTGTACAAAAAATATTGATTTTCTTTTTGGAAAATATATTATAGAATAAACATTTTGATCAATCTAATTCAACTCAAGTGGTTAATTAAATCTATATGGGGAGAAAGGGAATTTCAATTTCAATTTCGGGTTAAAGAATACTGGTTTCTTTGAATAAACAATTTGTTAACCTCCACAAATGTTTTATAATAATAAATACTTAATTATAAATTATTTTTTAAAGAAAAAAGAAAATTAAATTTTATCTTTTTATATGTTATAATTACTTTTTATAAGTTATGTGTGTGCCTCTGTGTCATATTTTTATTGCGTGTAAAATATAAATAGTAATTTATTATATAATTCTTAATTTTATTTAATAGCAATAATTTATTTAATAAAAAGTGATGTATTGATCGTGTAAATTTTTTTTCACCCTCAACCAATAACAATCATACATTTTGTAAAATATTTTTAAACTATCCACCCCATAACAATTAGATATTTTTTTATTGCTTTCTCTCTCTTTTTCAACGCTCTCCTCAATTCTCTTCTCGTTTCTCTATCATTCACTCACTTGCGCTAATATTGCTAACATGTTTTTAGTTTCTTTTTAACTAGAAAAGGACCGTGCAAGGATCACACATAATTATAAAAAAAAGTTTGTGAAATTGTTATATTATATATTTTCTAAATATGAATGTATAGTTTCCGAGCAAATAGTATACCATTATAATTTCTTTAAAGAAAACTTTTGGTATTATTTATTATTTATATCACTTAAATTATATAATTAGAGAAACCTAAACATTACCCTGGCCATTAATAGTCAACAAAATGATATATAATAAAAGTTATATATATATATATATATATATATATATATATATATATATATATATATATATATATATATATATATATATATATATATATATATATATATATATATATATATATATATATATATATAATATTGTGTTTAGAATAAAAACTAATATTAAATTGATGTATTTTAAATTGTAATAAAACCAATTTTATATTGATATAGTTCAGTACTTCGGAAACAATTCGACTTAAATAAAAATAACACAAAACTAAAAAATTTAGTAAGAATGAAATAAAAGATAGAAAAAAAATCATGGAAAACAAAAGCATTAAATTTTAGTAATAATATATAGAAAGACGTAGCATTTTCTTCAAGCATTCTTCCTTTCGACACATCTAAGCAAATTGATGTACAATATCTGAGAATTAGAGTAGTAATGATATACTAGGTGATCTCACCTGATCAAAAAGAATTAATGGTCTGCCATTTGTCGTTGGATTGTTGTTTTCATCGGAATTGTGGAGAGAAGAGAGTGTATCTGCAAGACACTCTGATGCTTAAGTGAGTAAAAGATCAGAAAGAAAGTAAGCACAGAGGTTAGGTGTGGAGAAGAAGTTACATGACCCTCTAGTAAAAGAGGGTATTTATAGTGTGTCCCCAGTGTAACAACACAATTTTTAATAATTAATTATTTGTACTAATTAATTGATTTATGTGATTTATTTGATTTAAATGAATTATTTGATTTATTTAATTTATACAAGTTAATTTATTTATTTTATTAATTTAAATATGTGATTTATTGAATTAAACTAATTGGTTTATTCTATTTGGTAGAATAATGTAGAATTGCTATATTGATTAGTTGGGCCTGGTGATGGGTGTGTGAATAGAAAGTGAGAGGAGTTGGGTAAAGCCCAATAGAAAGGGTTAAAGAGTTAGGGTTTTAGAGGAATGTTGGAAAAGAGAATAGAAGAGAAGAAGAGAAGGAGAGAAGAAGAGAAAGAGGCAAGAGGAAAAGATGAAGGGAAGGGAGAAATCAGAATGCAAGCATCCATGGAATCAAAGATTCTTCTCCAAAGAAAAACCTAAGGTAAGGGTGGGTATTCTCTCATTATTGGGATTGTGGGATAATGTTTGATGGGTAGAAGTTGTGTAGGGAAAAACCCTTAATCTGAAAATTGTGTGTTAATGGTGAATGAATAGATGTTTATGTAGGAAAAACCCATATATCTCTCATGATTTAAGTGAATTTTGGTTGTTAAGAATGCCCTAACATGGAGGGATTGATTATGATAGTAAAGAGGGGAATGGGTGGTGAAAATACACTTTTTTGCATAATTTTTCGAAAACGCACAGTGAGCAATCGATTGCACCTAGATGTCAATCGACTGCACACTGAGAAAAGTTGTTGGAAGCTGAATTTTTAGCTGAGCAATCAATTGCACCTAGATGTAAATCGATTGCACAACAAACCAGTAGCTAAAATGATGAAATTTTCAAAGGATCAATCGATTGCACCATAAAACAGTAGCTAAAATGATGAAATTTTCAAAGGACCAATCGATTGCACCCTAACTCCAATCGATTGCACTAACTGAAATTTGGAAAAATCATGTATTGGGAGTTTGATTACACAGGGTTATTGTTTAATTGAATCTTAACTAAAACATGGATTAATTGAGAAGATCTATTGACTATTTACTTGAGTAGTGATTGATTATAAATCTTTGGTTGGTTATTGAGATATCAATTGTTGATTAACAAGCTGATTTGTGTATTAAATATTGAATTCAAGTATTGGCAATGGATTGATTGTTCTATGTGTAATCATTGAAATGTGTTGTGAATTGTGATTGAATCTAATTGATTCTTGTACATTACTTGACAAATGTAATGATGATGCGTGAAAGTATGAATACTTTGGTTAGTATGAAATGTGTTGTGAATTGTGATTGAATTTAATTGATTCTTGTGCATTACTTGATAAATGTAATGACGATGTTGAAAGTGTGAATACTTTGGTGATTATGAAATGTGTTGTGTGTGCAATCATGTTATAATTCTTGAGTGATGAATTATTTGAGAATGTATGGGATTAAGATGCGGGAACGGTCTTAAGTGCATTTGGTTATTGATTGCATACGCATCATTTGTGTCAAGAGGCAATGCTTGCTAGTTTCGTGGAGGCTAGTGACTTGTCCCAAACCTAGAGCGGGGTTTGAAAGCTTAGGGAACAGGCTTTTGTTTGTTATTGGTATAGGGAACGGACCCTGTTTAAATGTAAAAACTGAAAAATAATAACAAGTGTTGGTACCACATGGCATGAGTTGCATTGAGTCACATGGCATATATGATTGTTATATGAAAGTATGCATATGTGTATGACTTGTTGAATTGGGAGTTGTGAATATATGATTGTTATATGAAAGTATGCCTATGTGTATGACTTGTTGAATTGGGAGTTGTGAATATATGATTGTTATATGAAAGTATGCCTATGTGTATGACTTGTTGAATAAGGAGTTGTGAATATATGATTGTTATATGAAAGTATGTATATTTGTATGACTTATTGAATTGAGATTTGTGAATGTATGGTTGTTGAATGATATTGGCTGATAAAAATTGAAGTGTGAGAATATTGGTGTTTGTCCTGACATGCTTTACATTATTCATTATCTTATGATTTCAATATTGATGTGAATTCTCACCCTTCTGCTGGAATGATGTCCTATCTGACATCGTGCAGGTATCAAGGGTAAAGCTGCTCGTAGTTGTGTGGTCGCTGTTGGTGTAGCTATTTTAGTATTTTAGTTATGTTGGGTCGAGTCATGCTCTGGTCATGTAACACTGGGATCGCTTGGTTTATGTCTTAGAGATACATTATGTACTCTACGTTATGTTTTTATATTAATTGGAATATCATGATGTTGGCCTTAGAGCCTAAGTAATGTTGAATTATGTGATGAACATGAATGTTTCTGTTAAGAGAATTATGATATAAAATGAATCTGCTGCTACATGCGAAGTGAAAATTTGAAAAGCATGATTATTTATTAAAGTATTAATGAGCATGACAGGTGTTTTTGATGTTTTGGAAATTATGTGTGACACCCTTTTGTGAGTGCATGACGATTTACTCTGATAATTTATATATATTATGTGGGGTTTAGAATGGTGTTACACCTAGCGCAGGGTCAACCGTTACATTGTATTGGGCCAGACTGCCAGACCCAACCCAAGTAATTGTCAGGGCTTACGTGACGTAGTAAAGACTAGCATGTGGTATTCGCCCTATATCAACTGCCATGTGATCTTCGGAAGGTGGGTTGACCGACTCTTTTGGAGGTGGGTAGTTGCTTGATGACGTGTCCCCGCGTGGGGGACACGTGGAGGGCGTGAGGGAAGTGTGTGAGCTTCCCCGTTAGGAAGGTCTTCTGCCCGACGCAAGTGTCTGGTTGAGGCATGTGCCCGACGGAAGAGGATTGAACCTTGTTGGACCTCATCAGCATAGCATTGGGTTGGGCCTGCCCGAATTAGGGGCAGGTCCCGGCCTAATCCAGAATAGGATCCCCCCAAGTCGATGCTTCGAGGTGGAGGAATGGCGACTTAAGGATAAGCCAAGGGCGATAATAAATTGGAAAGGTGGTCTTATGCCCAGAAGATGGGGTCGAGAGCCGCGGTCGTTGGAACCTCATGTCAGGGAGGTGAAAGGTGATTGGGCGCGCTGGCTTCATGAGCTCGAGGGAAAGCGAAGGGACACGGTCTATCACAGTTGCCATGTGTCAGGCGCCCATTGCCTTTCCTAGGGCGGCTAGTTGTAGGGGCGCTTCGAGTTTCGTACTAGGCTTATAAATAGGCTGGGGCCTGCCGCTTTGTCACTTTTAGCTCTTAACTCTAACAAACAGAATTGTTTCCTGCTCCTCCACCGTCTACATCGTCGTGCAAACGTCGTTGTCGCGCCGTCCACCATGAAGTCTGCCACGTCTCTACCCAAACTACCGTACCAGGTAAGTTCGTTCGTCATTTTCCTTATGTTTCTTTATTTTCCGGCAACTCATACGACGGACACGATGAGTGTCTCGAGGAGGTTGCGGGTTTTCCGATGACTA